GTGTGTGGGGGTGGGTGGGGGGGGAGGAACACAGGCTGGCAATTGTGATCGGTTCTCACCCCAGAGATGCCAGAGGGGGGATGAGAAAGGGGTCATTGTTCTCCTTCTTCCCGGAGGACAGGATCGGAGGCCATGGTGGGTTCTGAACTGCAGGAAGGGAGATGGGCGCGGAACCGGCCAGGAAAGGCTCCCCAGAACCGCAGGGACAGGATGGAGTCGCCTTCTTTGGAGGTTAACAATCCGCTTTCAATCCAGTTTCAGTGCACTTCCCAACTTGATTTTGCCAGCTCACACAGTAGGATCCTGTTGGAAAGGACACTGAAAGGGGCTTGAGTTTAGTGTGTGTGGCCGCAGCCTGTCTTCAAGCGCACCTTGGCATCCCAGCAAGCTTTTAGCCGAGGCATACCCGGGAGGACCGAGGGCTGCCTCGCTCAGGCTTCTGTGTGCGTCACGTGGTGACTTGCAGGATCAAGGGGTTTCTTGCATGTGTGAATGATCCCCCCCCCCGCAACCCAAAGAGCTGGTCGTTTTTCAAAGGGCCGCTTCCCGCATTCAGCTGTCTCCGCCGCCAGTCATCAGTCCTTCCGACGGCGAACAGCTCCCCCGCCCAGCCCAGCCCCCTAGAGGGATCCGCTGGACTCGAAAAGCGCGAGGAATCCCGCGCCTTCGTGGAGGACCAGCCTAGCACGGACCTCCCGGGGCTCGTCCTTTGCCCGAGGGCATTTAGGACTCACGATGCTCTTTGGGAGGAGGATTGGAGATGCTCAGGGAATCGGGGCCCTGGGAAGCAGGGGGCGCCTCTTCTCCGGTGCAAGTCTGTTTTCCACTCGTTTGAGGAAGGCCTGCGCGGGAGAACTGCGCCCAAGGGTGTCCGATAGACGTCTTTTTACATCAATTTCTCATTTAAGCGGACACAAAAACAGTAATATGGGACATCGGCAGTTCGGCACCCCATCCAAATTCGAACTCAGACGTAGGGGCCGAAAGGATTCGAATTAAGGAAATGGGGAAGGGAGAAGGAAAGAAATGTGGCTGCAGCAAAGGAGTTTAGGAAGAGACAGGACGGCGCGGTAGGGCACTGCAGGGTTTCATCCGTGTCCAGCATCCTTGAAGGGTTCACTTTGAAGCACACACAGCAAGAGTAAGTGAAAGGGCCCCGGAGTACCTTTCCTTCATCACTAACAATAGAGAATCCCCGTCGGCCAGGGAGTAGCAGAAAACCGCAGAAAACATTTTTTAAAAAAACCAAAACGATTTAAAAACCATTTTTCCCAGCAGCAGACAGTTCCCAAACTTGAGTCCAGATACGACTTCCTCTAGAAATGAAAATAAGGCTGTTTTTGTTCTGGTTGTGTTTGTTTTTCACTCAGAGCTAGCAGGGCTTCAACTGCCTGTGTCAGTTTTTTGCCCGGGAATCTGTTTCCGGTTAAGTTATTATTTGTGTATTTATGGGGTTAAATGAACAACAACACTAAGAATACGAAGACTCGCCTGTCTGAAGGCGCTGGATTCCGCAGTCTTGCAGAGGTGAAGTGGATCTAATGAGAGCCCCGCCGGGAGCTCTCCAGAGAACCTGAGCGATGTGCCGCCTTGAGCGCCACGGCAGAAAGGCGGCTAGGTGCCTAACTGTCAGTCACGACAGTCCTCCCGTTTGTAATACAAAGGAGAGAAAACTGTAAGAGAACAAAAAACCGAAGGGAATGACTAACTTTGCAGTGGTTGTAAAATGGTAAGGACAAAGAGAGGGTCATCCCCCAGCTGGGACCATTCCTATATTTAGACTTAGGGGGCGGCTACTGCAGTCAAGAGGGGGCGGAGGCAGGCTTGAGCCCCCAGATGGGCTTGAGCAGCGCCTCTCCCGGGCTCAGTGGAGTATCCCTGAAGACGAGCGTGCCTCTGAGCTTGCGCAGAGTGCAGGGCCCTGTCTCTTGCGCAGGGGAGGATCCCGCTGGGCTTCCAGATCCGGGCTGGGCTGGGCTGGGGGGGTGGGGTCGCGGAAGGGCTGTCTCTCACGCGTTGATCTGGCTGCTTTTCTTTCCACCTGCTGGGCGCTTGGGGCGGCGGGCGCAGCGAAAGCGGCGGACTACGGCTTGGCGGTCCACCCCAGCTCCATCCGGACCAACTTCACCACCAAGCAGCTGACCGAGCTGGAGAAGGAGTTCCACTTCAGCAAGTACCTCACCCGGGCCCGGCGGGTGGAGATCGCCGCCACCTTGGAGCTGAACGAGACCCAGGTGAAGATCTGGTTCCAGAACCGGCGGATGAAACAGAAGAAGCGGGAGAAGGAAGGGCTGGCCGGCTTCGCCTCGCTGGCCGGCGCTGCCAAGGAGACCGGCGAGGCCGCCTCGGACAGATCCAGCCGCTCGTCCACCCCCAACGCCTCGCCCAGCTCGGTGTCTTCCTGAAGGTCGCCAAGGGGTGGACGCGCAGGGTCCTTTCTCCTCCTCCTCCCCCCCCCAGCCGTGACACTCACCCCACCCCACCTCCTTTGAAAGAACCGGCAGCCATTCCTTGCACAGAAATGCCGGTGGCACCAACTCACCCGAGCATTGATGTTTATGCGCAGGCACATGGCAAGAGAAGCGCCGTGCTTGCACATATCTCAGCAACCGTGGTATATGCGCGCTCACATCGAACAAGCGAGCACCAACAGGCCTGTCTGTGGATACCCACAGGGGAAGATGCGCATCTTTCCTACCAAGGAATTGCCCCCCGCGCCCACCTGTGCTAGCCAGTGACGGGAAGTCTCGCCTAGAGCAGCGGTCTGCCACGGATTTAACTGCCACGGAACAGGTGTTGAAAATCCGAAACCCCCATAAATACACACCTTCCTGTGCCAAGCAGAGAACAGGCCAGCGATGCCCGCGGACGAACCCGTTTCCACCAGCCTCTTTTTTCCAGCTCAAACGGGGGCGGGTTTAAAGAACGCCAGAGGGGCGGGACGCTCCACTTCTGCTGTCGAACCCGTGCCTACCCCGGTGCGGCTGCACAACTGACCTCAGGGACGCCAGTCGCCATCCTCCTCGCCAAAAGTTTACGCACCCCCGCCCTTGCAACAGTAATAAACCGGGGCACCCCCCCCCAGTGTTCCCTCTAAGCTGGGTTAGTGTGAGCTAGCTTACAGTTTTTTAGTCTCCAGCTCAACCCATTTTTGCCTTAGCTCAGGAAGGATGGCTCCAGAGCAAACTAATTTATGCAGGAGCCAAATCGCTCGCTCACAGCAGCTCACAAAGTAGAATTTTAGTTCACAAGACTCCAGTGTTCCCTCTAAGCTGAGTTAGTGTGGGCAAGCTCACAGTTTTTTAGCCTCCGGCTCACACATTTTTATCTTAGCTCAGGGAGGATGGCTCCAGAGCAAACTAATTTATGCAGTAGCCAAATCGCTTGCTCACAACTTTAATGCCAGTAGCTCACAAAGTAGAATTTTTGCTCACTGGACTCCACAGTTCAGAGGGAACAATGCAAGACTCCACGGCTTAGAGGGAGCACCATCCCCCCTCCCGTCTTGGGATGCGATTTCCCCCCCATCGATCTTTCTTTTCGACCAGTTCATAGAACAGGAGCTCGGGGCTTTATCTTTGCTTCATGAGGTTGCTACCAGTTTCCTATAAATGGTTGCACATTTTATTTTTTTAAAAAATATTCTATCGCGTGGAACGAAAGACCCCTCCCCCATGGGTCGCAAAGGCCTGGGAGAACTCCCTTTCTTCCCACCCCCCACTTCAGCTTTGCACTAGAACAGAACTGTGCCTCTCTCGTGCTAATCGCCCCGGGGGCAGCTGGGTTGCTTGCAATTGCCCTCACGGATCTCTCCCCTGGCTCCGGTGTGAAGGCGCAAGACAGCTGATAGCTGCCTTACCCATCTCTCTGGTTGGCCTTTGATATCAATAGTGATTTTACGTCTGTTAATAATGATTATATAATCCGTGGGATCGGGGCCTGAACGTAAATGGCTTCTTGTTTTTGTCTAGATATTGCTTTTATGTAATAGTTCCTTTTCACTGCTTAGAGGGCTTCTGTCATATTTTCACTGCTTAGAGGGCTTCTGTCATATTTTGTCATATTTTGACAGAAGCCTTTCAACAGCCTTGTAAGGCAGTCCGGTCTTACTACCTTCCCCCTCCCCCCACACATCAATACTGCAGAATCCAAAGTCTTATTCCAGCATATGGCAAAACAGGCAAAAAATTAACTAACTGAGGCAGAAAAAAAGAGCAACAGTCCAGTACCGCAGAAGTGAGCAGTGACTCACAAAAGTCGTCCCCTGCCACAAATTTTGTTAGTCTTTAAGAGGAAGAAAAAGAAGGGATTGGATTTATACCCCGCCCTTCACTTGGAGTCTCAGAGCGGCTGATAAACTAATTCCCTTCCCCTCCCCACAACAGACACCCTGTGAGGTAGGTGGGGCTGAGAGAGAGCTCTTTCCAGAACTGTCCTTGAGAGAACAGCTCTGACAGAACTGTGGCTTGCCCAGGGTCATCCAGCAGCTGCGAGTGGAGGAGTGAGGAATCAAACCCGGTTCTCCCAGATTACAGTCCGGACACGTAACCACTACACCAAACTGGCTGTGCTACTGGACTCTTGCTCTTTTCTTCTGCTACAGACTAACACGGCCACCCATCTTGATCTAACAGAGGCAAAGAACAAGCAAACTTCCCAGAGCCAGGAATATGCAGACCTCCAGGTCTCACAGAACTCTGCATCAGGAAAGCCTTCCTTCAATATGAAGGACTTCCTCACCCAACGAGGCAGGGGGCAATCGAAATCCTGCGCATTCCAAATCCCTGAGGCTGAAAGAAAATCAGTTCCCTCCGCCCTATACAAATTGTCCATCAGCCAAAGGTGAACTGATGAAGGTGTGTGCTTGACATTTCGCGTGGGGGAGGGGGGGTGGCCGTCCAGAGAAAGTCACTAGGCAGCAAGAGGGCACCCGCCTTCAAGTGTGTTCCACTGAACCCCCAGGGCTTATTCTACAGAAAACAGACACAGGGCGGAGGTCAGAGTTGACGCAGTTCCCCGGGCTGGCACCAGCCTGTAGTGGTGAAGGGGCAGCTGAACCAGATTCAGTTTGCGAGTTTGAAATCGGATCCCGGCAAGCAACTTCAGACTTCTAAGAACCTGGTTGACAACCGAACTTTCTGCTCCACTCTGGTCACCTCCCGTAGCATCTCCCGGCCCTTCCCCCCCACACACACACACACTGGGTTAGACTCAACCAGCTTTTCTGCTCGTGAAGTCGGAATGAGGAGGTCACCTCTGACTTTTCAAAGAGGCAACTTTGGGGATCATGAGACCTGCATGGACCAAATGTGGAATTGGGGGGGGGCGTTGGAAAGAGAGGAGCGGGGTGAGACTGAGTGAAAAGCAACGCACCTTAAATCCTAGGGAAAATAGTCCTCCAGCTTCAGCTTCCTTGTGCTAGAGGCCACTTCTTCAGATATTCCAGAAACCACTTCTGTAGGGAAGAAGTCAAAAGTTATCCTTTCCTCTCACACACACACACGCACGCACATTACTGGTCCCTCTATTGTACTAATCTGTGGAAATCTAGATCCAAGGGAAAGGTTTGGTAGGGTCTTGATGGAAGGCAGGGGAAAGGATTGCTCTTGATGTGGGGAATCAACGTCATTTTCCCCCTAAGGCATCACGACTATAATCTAACAACTAGTTTAAACGAAACGACTTGGATTTTTGGAGGCCGTCTGAAATCGGTCTAACAGAGACGTTGACTCCTATACCCAAATCAATGGAATGTGTATTCCAGTAATAAGGCTATTTTAGGCAAACTTTAATTTGAACCAGGGAAAACATCCGAACTATCTTGCAACGCTAAGGACGATATAAAAATGAAAGTGCATCCGAGCATGCACAGTAAAGCCCCCCCTCAATACACTGGCAAACCCCGCCCCTGCTCCACCTAGCAATAAATCCGGGGTAAGGGCGGCTTCTAGGCATACAATTCCGAGAGCGGTTAGATTCGACTCCCAGTAGCACCTTAGAGACCAAGATTTTCAGGGTTATAAATCTTCCAGAGTCAGAGCTCCCTTCCTCAGTACTAGGCAGCTCCTTGCTGAGGCTAGATGGGCGTCCGCAGAGCAGCAGCTTGGGAGAAAGTTTCACTAAAATCAACAGAAGTGACTTCGAAGTGAGCCTATGAGCCATCAGGCGCCAGTTTGCTAAAACCAATCAATCATATTCATTTTGATTCGTTTAAGGCTTTGGATGTAATGGGTGGGAAATGGTCAATAATATATCCAATGATATTTATTATTAATTCATCTCCATGGATTGCACCTTGAAAGCAGACCAGAGTTTGAATCCAGTGGCACCTTTAAGACCAACAAAGATAAATTCTGGGTATAAGCTTTTCTGTGCATGCATGCTTCTTCAAATAGGTGTGCATGCACACGAAAGCTTATCCCCAGAATTAAATTTTGTTGGTCTTAAAGGTGCCACTGGACTCGAACTTTGGTCTGTTGCTTCAGACCGACACGGCTACCCCACCAGAACCTACTTTGAAAGCAAAACAGCTGGTTAGGGGTCTCCCTTCATAAAGGCATCCGGGAACAGAAACCACGCGTTCCCCCCCCATCCCGCGTATGGTAGCGTAGAGCAAATCTTTGTGTTTTTTTAAGATGAAAACTTTGTTCTTATTATTATTAATTGTAATTATTATTTAGATTTTTAAAAAACTATATTAAAATAAGCTAGTGTTTTACATGGGAATTTTGGAGACCTGGCGCTTTGTATGTTGAACCGAAACTACCTCAATCGAAATAAAGTTTACTCCCCCCCCCAAAAAAAAGTTTCCAGACCTCTTGGTTTTGACTGGGTTCCCTCTTCCCCCTTTTGGATGTTTCCTTTCCCCGCGATGCAAATGGGTTGCAGAGGTCACGAGGAAATGCGATCCCGCCCCCTCCAGTTGCTTATAAGAAACTGTCTTCTACTGACCCCGACCATTGGTCAGACTAGCCAGGTGCTGGCAGCAACTCGCCCCCCTCTCGACCTGAACTCTTTGAAAGCTCTCATAGCCAAGAGACCCTTCCTAGAGAAGAAGCCAGGGATCGAACCTGGGACTGCCTGGCCCCTCCCCCGTCCTGCTTCTAGGCCTGGAGAATGACTCCAGAAGACTGGATTCCTTAGTGGCGAAGGGACACGGGAAAAGAGTTCCTCAACACTCGGGGTGGTGCTGGGGAACCAGTCTTGTACACACACGTCACACAGGTGTTTGCCCTTGACTTCTTCCGCAGGTGCTTCTGCTGCTTGGTGGAAGGGGACTCTCCCCCCCCCCTTGCCTCTCCTCTCCTTTCCATCGGTATGGGCCGCTGGGATATTGACCAGGGGTCTCCAAAGGAGGAGAGCTTCCTGCCGTTCTCTGGCCCGCGGATGCCATGGGGAAGGGGAG